TGAATTTTGACCTGGAAATCCTGGTATTTTCACTATTATTTGCCAAATATCTGCTTTCACTCCCTGAAGAGCATTATATTTCCCCAGCTCTAAGAAGCCAGAACTTGTGACTTGCTTTGAACATAGAAATGTGAGCAGATTATGTGTAGCAAGCAGAAGCAGTAAAAGTACATGCATGCTCCATTACAATCTGCATAATGACAGGTGGTGTTTCCTACAGAAGTTGTTCAGGAAGGCTATGACTCAGAGGTAAGAGTCAAATCCCATCTACCATAGACATGAAGCAAAAGATGGAATAAAGCTATTGTCAATTGTTGAGATTTAAGTGCATTGTTACTGCAGCATAACCACATCTGTCCAAACTGACGTTGTTTTCTCACTCTATTCCTGTTCTGACTCTAACCATAACTTGAACTGCCATCTATATATTAATTGCTTTAAAAAAAAAAAAACTTCATCTCCACAAAGACAAGTCACTTATGTGTATTTTCTACATGTCTCCTGAACAGTTTAATCTGGATGCCATTCAGGCAGTTGATAATCATGATGCAAACTAAGGTTCTCATCTTTCAAACATACTATCTACTTTCCCTTTCTCCTATTTTACTCATCAGTAAAAGTTTTCTCAGCTGCTCTCTCAACCCCACTGTATATCCAATTGACTGTCAAATTTTGTCCATTCTGCAACCCAAACTATTAAATATATTCCATTCTCTTCATCTCATTGCCAAAGTTCCATTTTATCATTATTAACATCCTACAGTTTTTAAATCCCTCACAGCGTTGTTTGTACTTCTGATCTTGCACAACTTCAATTCATTTTCCAAGTTTCACCACATAAGCTCTCCAAAATTCATGTATGACTATCATTTCATGGGGTGGAATCTATCAATGGTATCCCAAGCATTCATACAAAGTCCAAATCCTTAGCCTGGAATTGAAGATTTCATGGTCTGAAGCAGACACATCTCTTTAGCTTTACACATCCCCCCTTTTATCTTGAAGTTTGCCAAACTTCCTCTGAAAACAACATCTTTTGAAGATAACTGTTGTTTCTTACGTTTTGTTTGTCAATACTTTTCTGTTCTCAAACACTGTCTGACTAGCTCTCCTCATCCCTGTGAGCCAAAGTCGCAACACAAGATAACCAACAACAGTAAGCAAATGTAAATGAGCCCTTTTGGACTCTGTCCAATTCATATTCATATATTTAATATATATGAAAAAGGATGATCAAAGGGATACACATACAATCAGAAATCTAGTAGGTTATGGAAACAAACTGCAAAGTCTTTGAAAGGACAGGCTAATCATAAGTGTTTTAAAAAGATCCAGGTGAATAAGAATGAGCACTTTTATTGGGTCTGGCTATTACGTGAACAGCAGGTACAAAAGTCAGTCGGCAGTAGGTTAAGGAGTAAATTGAAACATTAAGTGCAAACAGCTCTCCTGATTGTTGTGGACCAGACAGGATGGAAAGAAGTAGTGAACTATAATAGCTAAAAGAGATGCCAGGAAGGGAGAAAGTTCGCACAATAGGATGTCAGAATAGCCTGTGCACCAGACTGCTTAGAGCTGCTAACAGGGAATAGAGTCAAAGGAATTCTGACAGGAAGGGGGATCTGAGCGAGGGGTAGGTGGAAATGGAGTCCTTGAGAAACAGATGTGGTCGGACTATTGTTTTGGTGGAGAGTGCACTATGGAAGTAGTGCACGTGGGTGGGGGGAATCCTCTACTCAATAATGTAAACCAACATGATCTAAATAAGAGAAAAGAGAAAGATATTGCCTTGCCAGGAGAAGTGGAAGAGTACAAGAGAAAAGTTTGTGTGTATTTATGTCTAGTTTAAGTGAGAGTAGCAGTGGGATATAGAAATATCCATTAGGTCTTAAAATATTGGTGTGATAGTAGATGAAAGGTCACAGTTGACCTTTTGTAAATTATATTCATTGATTTTCTAAGAAAACAAGACTAAGAAACTATCAAATTGTTCTCAGAGGGATGAAGCAGTGAGTTGCATTTATCATGTTCCAATCCAACCTATTTTTCAAAACAGTACTCTTAATATGATTTCACCAAATATCCTCAAAAAAAAAAAAAAAAAAACATTTGACAGTAAAGTGAATTTCTATATTAGGAAGACTGAATGATGTATAAAACCATGCTTTAATGATGTGAAGAGAGCTGGACAAGGTATCAGCCCAGCACATGCATATCTACACACTTATGTACATATATACACATACATAAAATTCTTTGAAGAGATCATGACAGAGAGAACAGAAGAAAGAAAGAAATGTGTTGGCAGAGCACCCTGCACCTTAAACTCCTTGATTTGGAGCTTGCTATTGTTATAAATATCTGGACTGGTATTACAATGCCATTGAAATACTTTGAGTTTTTCTACACAACTTTGACTTAATGTTATTAGAGATAAAATAAAAATGAAGGCAGATAGCTATATCGCCTAATTGGGTCTAGCAACACTTCTGCATAAGTGTCTTAAAACTACATGTAAATATATTATAACATCAATAATTTACATGAAATATGAACAAAGCATTTCCATGATCAGATGAGTAAACATTATTATAGCATTTTCTTTTTCTTTTAATTTTTGATTTCTGTTACAAAAACATACATTCTATTTTCCCACCATTAGGAAAAATATTACAAGCAAAACAACCTTTACTTTTGGCTCAAATATTCATACTTTGAACATTGAAGTTTTAATTTCTAGTTTCTATAGTCTTTTACAAGTCTGATTCTTTATTCATTCTGCATCACTTTAACTTATCCTTGTTACTAAGTCCTAGAAATAGACCAAACAGCTCTGAACTTGCAGGAACCATTTGAGCAATTACTAGTTGGCAGAGAGGAGAAGCACTTATACACAGCTCTCTGGGGGCCTGTGCGAAATGCATCAATAGCCCCCATCTAGAATGGTGAGTAAGTGTCCACATCAAAAAAGGGCACCATTACAACTGGTACTAACAAGTCTCAGAGGAATTTAACTTTCATGAGAAAGTTCCACTTCATTGTCTTTTTATCACTACAGTCACAGCATTGTGCTAAATTTTCTTTGCAAATATCTCTGACATGCCATCCCACTATCAACTTATATCTTTTATGAAAAGTATTAACTGGTCTTTCTTACAATAGTTAATATGAATAGAGATCCAAATATGTATTTTAAGATGAACATTTTAATGATTAGATCAATGAATGAGAGCATATTAAAAATCAGAGAGTCCTTTTTTGGACATTGAATCAAGAAAATAATGGAGAGTACAAAATAGTGAATAAAACATAATCACCCAGTAAGAAAAAATAGTAGTAGTAGTACTCACAACCTCATCCCAGGGACAGAATCTACTTGACAATGACATAGAAAATCTGAATTCTAGCCTTCTAATATTTTTATGTTTCTATATCCAATTAAGACACACCAAGCCACAATGCACCACAGAATATTTACAATTCAGCAACACCAATATTCAGCAATATCCCCAATCCAGCAATATTCCCCAAATATTTACTTGGGATCAAGGAAAATCTGTGGAATGCATTAAGTTAAAAAGCACCGCACTTAAGAGTTATGAACTATGAAAGCAAATGCATAAACAACTCTTTTAAAAATGGGCAACAATTTTATCAAAATCATATCAAGATTGAGTCAAAATAATTTATATAAGTTATCAGAAGATTTCATTCTATTTTGTATAAAGACTCTTTGTGGCACTTTCCATTATGTGGTTTCTCAATGTTGGCCCTCTCAAGGAAGTTTTTCTAACCTGCCTAATACAAAGTGTTGCCACACTCCATGGACACTTATTGCATCCTTTACATTGTTTTACTTTCCTGATGGCTTCTTTTGCCTTCTCAGAAATAATATCATCTGTGTTGTCAGCTTTATGGTATGTACCATTCTCTCCCTCACACTATAGGTTAAATAGAAACCGAAACCACATCTGCTTTATTCATCTCTGAACCCCAAGTCTTTTAAACAAGGTTGGCCACAAGGAGATGCTCTGTTGTTGAATAAATAACATTTGAAGTAACAGTTACTTTTAGCTACGAGTACCGCATTTCAGTTCAAATTTTAACATATGCATATGAAAAATTTTATTTTATTCCTCCCCCACCAAAATAGTTTGAATCATTGTAAAAGTCAAAAGAAAGAGAAAATGTACACAAAATTTATCACCTATCACCCGAGTTAAACATTCCTTTTATGTTCCATCTTTATTGTCTTCCGGTTAACCCATATCTCTGGGCAAAAAGGCAGACCACAGCTACTCACGTGTTTGCAGATGTGTGAAGAAAGCTATTGTCTAACACTGGCACCATTCGGGAGGTCAGCTTTTCCCATATAGAAGAATATCTTAAAATATTTGAGCAAACTTACTGTAAATATGTACACAACAGCACTTACCTGGAAGTAAAACGCTGGAAATTGATGAAACTTCACCTTGATCTCCATAAGACAAAGTGATGTGGTAGTCGGATCAGTCCTGCTGATTTCTGCATGGGACTTACCTTAATGTCTTTCTTTAGTTTAAGAAAATTAGCATCAAACATCACTATAAATTTTTTCAAGTACATAACTGAGGTCGTATGTATATTAAAGTCAAAATGATAGTGTCTAGAAGGCAATTTTTGGGCCTCCCTGGTGGCGCAAGGGGTTAAGACGCAGCCTATGAAGCTATCCGCAGCCACTGATGCACAGGTCTCCTCATCCCCGGCCAGGGAGGAGGCCCACATGGCACAGCAGACCTCTTCTGCCTCACCCACTGCTCCCCTCAGCAGTGTATTTCAGTAGATCTACCTGTTCTGCTCCCCACTCTGTCTCTGGTGAATCCTCTCACCCCCAAACCTCTGGCCTGTACCCCAGTTCTTGTATGCATAAATAATTCTTTAAAAATATTTTTTAATTTTAAAAGAGAAGGTAATTTATGTAAATTAACAGTGAAATTCCCAAATACAATTAGAAGGTTTACCTTAAGGAAAGCCTCTGCGAAGCCCCTGGTATCTCTAGTCCAACTGCTCGCCAACTTTCTAGGAGAAAAAAGAAATAAAAGAATCAAAGAGGGAAAAATTAGCTGTTCTACAATCAGTCACAAAACACACAAGTTGAAATAATTACTGCTTTGTGAGGGGGATTTCATAAAAAGCCCTGATCGAAAACCTCTCCATCATCTACAGGTTGATACTAGTTTTTCCGTTCCTATCAGTTGAAGTCTCTGCTCTGTAACGTTATTTATAAATACCCATGGAAAAACCCTGGATGAGTTGAGTATAAAATACATTTGTTAGTTTTCCTTTATCTGCCCCTTTGTTTGGTTTCTCTATAATCAACATATAAGTGATGCTCATTTCACTCAGCATAATCCCTTCTAACTCCATCCACACTGCCACAAATGGCAAGAATTTATCTTTTTGGTAGCAGAGTAGTATTCCATTGAGTATATACATCTTCCTTATCCACTCATCTGTATTTGGGCATTTAGATGGTTTCCATACTTTGGCTAGAACATGAGAGTGGATGTTTCCCTTCAAAATTAGTGTTTTTATATTCTAACCCTAGAAAGCTGACTATTGAACTGGGACGACAGTAAGGGAATGTGAAGGGGGAGGGGAGAGAGCAGGTGGGGAGGAACATAATGGGGTGGTGGTGAATTATAGCTGTTTTCATGGTGGGTGTAGTGTTGTGACAACATCTGAGGGTGGAGAGCCTATACTTTTAACACACAGTTGATGTAAGCCAACATTACTTCAATAAAAATAAGCAAGGCTTGAGAATGTGAAACAAATAAATTTGTCAGTGAAACTTGAAAAAACATTTCATACATTCAGAATATATTAGCTTTTCCTTCTTTCTATAAGGCAAGAAGAAAGTGCTGGGTAATTTGGGATTTTTCATTTGTTTTGCTCTCTACAACATGCAGCTCTCCTTTAAAATGTGATAGAAGTTCTCTGCAAATAAAAATCATAGTACAACATACATAGCCATCAAACATTCCCAGAGTTTAAGATTCCATTAAGTTATTTTACTTAGTATACTTTTACATAAAGTAGATTGAGAGAAGGAGACAGAAACAAAGTATTGTTTTCCTTTCACATCCCTGCATTGTATCTAAACTAACCAGTTATGAGAAAGTAACTTCAGAATAGGATCTAGCCTGTCTGTCTATAACAATCTATTAGCAATGTGATTAATGAGGACATTAACTTTAGAGGATTATTTTATGGGAATCCTGTCCAAACTACAGTATTTTTTAAATTGGGTGAGAAAGTATACATCTGTAGAGGTTTGAGTCTATAATTGCTGGAGTAGATACAAAGATGTAAACCCATTTTATCTCAAACACAATTTAGACAAAAAAAATTAAAAAGTTGTACAAAGGAAAAAAGGAATTGTTACGAGCAAGAGTGAGAATACTTTGGGGTGGGGAGAATATCAAGTTCAAGTAATAGCTGAATTTGGTTTGGGGTGCCTGGAACTTCCTTCCAAACTTCTCCTGATTTAATTTTCCTTCCACTTCCTTATTTTCTACTCAATTCAATCCTCTGGAGTCTGAAGTGACCCGATAGCCTACCCTCTATGACCCAAATTCTACATAAGTATTTGCCAGATTTTATATACCCTATCTTAACGCAATCATGACAATAAATTCCTGCGTTAAGCATCATACTCATTTCACAGATAAGAAAACTGAATTTTGATCATTTCTTCATGATTATCAAGCTCTTAAGTGATAAATGTGGATTCAAGTCATCTTCTGATCATAAAATCTGTATCTTTTCAGTGTGTTTCGCTGTCTCTCCCTCTGTCTTATCTAGACATCTCTCAGTTGCCAGCAATTGGACTGAATTAACTAATTTCACAAGAGCCTGAAAAATGAGTGAGACTTAATATTTTTTCCCTCCAAGGAGTGCACATATTTATACTGGAGAAAATATCCTTAACTAATGAAGGATTTCCAACCATAAAGCTTCTGGGCTGAACATCACATTTTTCAGAAAAGCAACATAGGGGCTGAATGCTCTACTTGCTTGATGCAAGGCTTCACTCTCAAAGAGTCAAATATATTTAGCCCAAACAGACAACTAAGCTTTGTGCAATGCTGTATTTTTTTTCCAGTGATTATTACTGGCAGGCTTTGAAGCAGTTTCTCTAACATGGGAGAACATTATTTGCTGTAGGATTTGTGTTCAGTTCCTAATAAATGCATTTGTTATGTTTCTAACTTTCTTTCTGTACTCTTTAAATGTTTTTGCTTCCAAGATTTAAATGGAGATGATCTCAGTTTGATGATGATATTGTCTATCTTGTCTCCGGTAGAATATTTAGAGAGAAGCAACATGAATTCTTGGTAATAAGAAGCTTTCCCAAAAGTTATTAGTAAATCACAGTCTGAGGTTGTTTGAACTGCTTTAGTCACATGATAAAGAAATGTTAACTTCACTTTGTAGCTTCTTCCTCTACTATAAATGGTGGTAACACTAATCCGTCTCTGGGTAGTTCTCTAGCGCAATCAACTTCACATACGCTAGGTAATCTAAGAGCTAAAGTCCAGAGTTCCATGGCAGAAGTGAAGGTTCAGTCTCATTCTCTCAACATATATTTTTGTGAACTACATCAACTCACTAGCTCCTCTTGCTTAGGTTTCTATTATATAAGAATTACAGTTGCCATTCCATTACTCGTGATTAAATAAGCAACATATTAAGTGTGTAAAAAAGTGACTGACACATTCTGTTACTATTGGTGAAATTGCTTTGTAATTCACTGGAACTTCAGCAACGTGGTGTTATCATGTAACATCATATATGGTGAGAAAGGGATTTAGGATATGAAAAAAATCTTCAGGTTATGAAAAAATGATTCATGACTAGCAGAAGAATCACACATTTGACACTAAACTCTTGTATGACAAAGGAAGTAGAGCTTAGTAGGTAGCGCTTGCCAATGGCATCAAGTAGGAAACCAACAAACAAAAGAAACTGGAACACTAAGAGCAGCGGGAGAATTAGAATGGCTGCTCAGAACCAAAGAGTATAAAATTTCATGACACCTTAGAGGAAAAAAAAAAAAACTGCTAACTTGATTAGAAATGGCAACTAACAATGATAAAATATCATCTAGAATGTATCTTAAAAGCAAAAATAATTAAGGCTTAAGTTATGAATTGTAAGAGATAAAGGGAGAATATACTCTAGCACACAGCACTGTGGTATACTGGCTTAGTTGTACAGTGAGGTTGTTGAGAGTGAAAATATTTTTTTTGAGTGTAAAAATATTAAGGGTCAAATTAAACGTTAAAAAAATGTTAGACATGAGCAAATATAAATGAAGATGGCAACATTCATATTTTAAGTAAGGATTAATTCATCCACTCAGAGCCTCAAAAGAAAGGGATGGGAGGCAGGGAGAAAAGCAGCTGAATAGACAATTCCGAAGTCAGTCCATCTTTTACAAATTAATAAAAAAGAAAAACCTTTCACTACTATTGCCCCTACCTGCTTTCTATACCCGCAAGTCCAGAGAGTCATTGCCACAGGCTGCTACTTGAAGTCAATCACTCAGAGATAGAAACCAAACACATAAGCTTTTAACGTATCTCTCGATTTGAATGAATATATTGAACAGGTAGGAATTAAGAACAGGTGAAAATTAGAACATATCTATTTAAGGTCTACATGTAAGTTTGCCCTCTACCAAAATGAATTTTCTGAAGTGAATGTTTGAATATATTCTGTTTTATCGTCTGAATATTTAATATATCAAGTTCCTAATTGAGAACATCTTACTTCTAAAAATGAAAATGCCTCCGGGAATGTGAAGAAACTTGGCTTCTAAATATTTACCAGAGACGAACTGCATTGGAGAATTGGATTCTCATCAAAGTGGAGTGGAAGTAAATAAACTTGGAAATAAGAAAAATTCAAGGAGGCAAGTCAGACGAATATGAGTTGTAGTGAGGACAGAAAGTGATAGAATCTCCTCCACTGGGAGCCTCGGGAAGTAGAAGAAAGCAGAAGAAAAGGAAATAGAGAAGTAACACTATTAACTTTTGCTTTGGCCTCAAAGTAAAGTAGCTTCTTTCTAAACTTCACAGACCCCAGAACTTGGTTTAGTTTTTTAAATGAACACTTTCAGTTATATTCATTATAAGTTTACATAATTTTGAGCACTGTTTTCAAACCTAATTATAGACACATTTTCTGGAAATGTGCACCCAATGTTTATTTAAAGTCACTAGAAAATGCTTTAACTTACAGAAGTTAGAGAAGTTATAAACTCTTAAATTGAGTAAAATGAACAGTTCAAGAAAATAGGTAAATATATAAATGTTCGAGATCAAATGGTCAAGAATAAATGGGGGTCGTCAGTTACTGCAGCTGTGGGGGAAGGAAAGGAATGGAAATCCTCAGCCTTAGCAACTCAAGATATCAGAGAACGAAGTTCAGGGCTGGCAGAAGAGCTGGAAATTTAAAGAAATCCTGGCAGCAAGAGAAATGAAGGGCTGAGACCCCAAATCTAAGTTAAAAATTATGCCTCAATCTCAGGCTCACAGCTAAATTACTCATGCCTGGGTGAAACCCAAGCAGCTTGGTTCTGCAGGCTGAGACTAGAGGAACTTATTCTTGAAAAGACAAGATAGAATTTTGAGTTTCTTGTTTTTGTAACACATCAGATATCCAATTTTTAGAATTTTGTTGACGTATCATTGCATTATAAATGTTTCAGACAGACACAATTTTAACTGAACATCGACATCTACTCCACTACATTTGCTAAAAAAAAAAAAAAGTCCAAATCTATCCTTTATGCAATTGACCCCTTTACCTGTACTTTACCATCTCTTTCCCCCTCTTTCCTTCTATTAACTACTAATTTAGACTGTCTAATTGTTTATTTTTAGTTTATTTAATTCATTTTGTTTCTTTTTATACCACATATGGTATCGATCTTTCTCCATCTGGCTTAGTTCACTAAGCTTAATACTCTCTATTGTTGCAATACCAGGATTTCATTTTTTTCAATAGCTGAA